GGGATTGGGATAAATAATAGTATAATTCGTGTAAAGATTATGGAATTAGAGAATTTAGTGTTACTACGGTAACAATATCTATAAAAATTAAGCCATTTTTATGAAAATCGATCTGGAAATCGGGATATACCGATAAATGTACAACATACGTACTGTATTTCTACACGTACGTACATGTACATGTACATGAATAAAGAACAAGAAAAACCAGTTAGAATGGGACTAAAGAATTTATTAATCAGGTTCTGATATAATAGGTAAATATTAATTACATGTGATTATTTTTAATTTTTGTCTTTAAAAATTTTTAAATAACAATTATCATCTGCATTTATCAATAGAACTGTGGAATATTTAGAATTTCCCAAGTTCCAGAAACCAAGAACTATATTCTAATCCTTTGCTTTTTTGAAAATGGTTCATTATATATCCTAATAAAAAATGTTAATGCTGTATGCTTAAATTAATAATTCACAAATCATTTATTGTATTTGTCTTGATGCAATAGCAATTTCAGTTCCGAATTTTATCTGATTTGTCCGAGTTTTAGTGAATTCGGTGGCTATTTTGATGAAATTCAGGGCTAACATTCGAATTCTATTGTATTTCGTCAAATAGCCGCCGAATTCAGCAAAACGCGCGGACAAGCAGACAAAATTCGGAGCTGAAATGTTGGACCAAAAGTAGTGTAACTATGCATTTATCGATTCCTTAAATAAGGGACATAGTGACGGCAAACCTAATACGTACAGTAATATTTCTCACTAAATACTGTATTTGAAAAACATGAGCAATCTAGTACCAGACATTCTCTGCCAAATCTTTGAAAACATAATCGGCATATATTCATTCACTTTCGGTCCTCCAAAATACAAATTTTTGTATCCGTGTATTTTTGTGAACAGAATCTGGTGTCGGACAGCCATCCCAATCCTCTATCGAGAACCGTTTATTCGTAGAAATGAAAACGGTTATAAACTAGTTTCGACATTCTTGGCATTTATAAACGATGAGAAACGAGCATTACTTTATGAGAATGATCAACACGATATTGTATTTTGCGGGTCCATGCAATTCCAAAGACCATTATTTGATTATTCGAGTTATATGTGTAATTTACATTATGACGCAATGCTGAAAAATATCGATGAATGGTGTCAAGAACGAATCTTAAAAGCAACTCTTCCTTCTGAAAAACAACGAAAAATAATAAGTTCGCCCAAAAATATTTTCTCGCATATTTTTCAAAAACAGTCGAAATCTAAATCAGAATCAATAGAAAATATGGATATCGAGAAAAGTTTTCATGAACTGCAATGTGCAATCGTGGACGCATTGTTAACGTTGTTTATGGAGAATTTGGTCAGATTATCGAAACTTCGTGTTTGTTTCAGACTAAATAATCGAGAGAATTACGAGAAAAATATGTTGTTGGTGCAAAATATAAAGTATTATCCGTTACTGTCTATGGTTAGAGAAATTTATTTAACTGTCGAGTTACATGTTCATAACGAGTTTTTGACCAGTTTAGCAAAGTGCTGTCAATCTTTGGTAAAATTTTGTTTTTACTCTTGTATTTATTATCGTTATATTTTATCATTTATCAAAGTTTATTTTTTGATAGGAACTTATTTTAATAGAATTTGGAATATATATTGCGACAAATCGCCAACTAAATCACTGGAACAACATAACAGACAAAACAGGCGAGAGCATCTCTATACTGATCCAAGCACAGAAAAAACTCTGTTCAATAACCACAATTGGAATGACGAATCCATGCAGCAACCAATTGATATCGTCGCTCGCCTCGCAGTCGTCTTCACTGAAACGTGCTGAATTTCTATGGACGGATTTCTCAGGATCTACTCCGTGGTATGGTCTTGCTTCATGCGCAAAACTGAATACACTGACAATTACACATTGTCAGAGTATTGACGATGAGATGGCTCAGCCGTTGTTTGATGCGAAATTTGAGTGTTTGAATGATGTTACAATTACTAGTAATTCGTGTGTGAAGTTGGGTGAATGGGCTCAGAAATTCAATAAGAGTTGAAGTGTCTGTTGCTCAGAAAATCAAATTGGTATTTTTGAAATTGCTCAGTAAAAGGATATACGTATTTGGTCATGGATTTACAATCTCGTATGGTCCCCAATGAGAAGTCAGATAAGGATTACTTTTTAGAGCGCAAACATCACATTTCTAATAAAATATGGATATTAATTATAACTTGTATATAGAGTTTGGAACCGGATTTATTTTAATATTAGAATTCGGGTTTAATCCGTTTTAAATCAGAATTTTAATAAATCCGGTTCTAAACTCTACTTGTATACCATAAATATCAAAAGTTTATTATGCTCTTTCAAAATCTCGCCGCACTCAAATAATTGCTTCTATGATGTTGTAACATCTTGTGGTAGAAACAATCGTCTTTATGTGTTCTTCGGTAGATTTTATTTGTTGTCAGTTCACTGTGAAGATACTTCATTTCCGATTCGTGGCTCACCGTACACTTGGCGGAAGAAAGTCACTGAACACGTGTTTACATTAAACTCATAATAAAAATTTATATCATAAAGCTAGGTTTTAATGTATAAAAATTACAGCTTTTTAACATGTCTAGAAAGTTAGTAAATAAAAAATTCAAAATATGAAACTTTATATCTTATTCAAGTTTGTCTATGAATCGATCCTAAAATCGAATTTAGAATCCCTAAATACGTAAGATACAAATAACGATAAAATCGATATATATATATATATATTAATAAAAAATAAAGGTAACGGTAATCAACAAAAGAAAAGATTACGTATTTTTATCCGATTGGTAATGTAAACATGTGTCCGCGATCATTGGTATGCATAATCCCCCCCTCCATTACGTACTCATTTTTTGTTATTCCATATCGAGATTAAATACACAGAGCAGTCTGAATTTATCGTTATTTAGAAACAAACTTGTTTACTCTTTAGAAATTGTTCAGTTGCTTTATAAACCTATTTTTGCAAGATATTCAACATTGGTAATCTTTCACTAACCATTAAACTTTATAAAGTTAGTAGTGATATTCAAAACATCCATAACATCATTTATTTGCTTAACATTTGATACACTTATTATGTGCATTGCATTTTATAAATTTAGTAAACTTAACTAAGAAGTAAATACAAAATTTAATCCACAAGTATGATAGAATAGGCTTTTCTTGATCATATTCACTGATTAAATTTTGTATGCATTTAAATGCGATCAATCAATGAGTTTAGATGTATCGTTATCGTTATCGTTATGCACAATACGGCATTTAAGCCCATCTATACCAAGAAAGGCTTGATCTATAATATATTGCTTTAAAAATGCAATTTATAGAGTCTACTTTTGATTGCCTATATCGATATATCGAAGCCTTCTACATTTTGATTTTTTGTTATAACGGTGGCAACAATGACGAGCAATCAACGATAATTCTTTGTACATGTAACAGGCAACCTACCTCATAATTTTCCGTAGATCATGTGTAATGTAACAAAATTTTCCGATCCTTTTATCGTTATAGGCTGATAAACTTCTAAATCGGACATTCTATCGCACATGAATAATGTCGCTCCCACTTCACAAACGATACGAAATCGTTTTTTACACACATCCCAAAGGTCCAAAGCTTGGACTTGAAGCTACAGCTAAATACGTTCACTGTAGTAAGCCTACAGTGGTTTATTGGGTCCAAAGATGGTAGGAAACAAAGGACCTAAGTGATCGGGCAGAAATCGATCCACAACTCCGAAGCAAGACGAAGAGCTTATAGAGCTTGCACAGAAGCAAACTAATGCAACCGTCGCTATATACAATGGGAAATAGAAAAACGAAACGTTAATGTTAGTTTGAAAAATATTCAACGACGTTTACACGAAGGTGAAGGCAAATACATGGCGAAACTTTCCAAACCTCTACTTACCAATGTCCATAAAAAATTTTGACTGAAGTAAGATTATATTTTCAGACGAAAGCACATCTCGTCTAAATCAGACGTTAATTAAGATTGGCAGTTTCCTGGACGAAGAAAAATATTACAGTCTGTGAAGCATCCATTAAAATCAATGAGTGGGTTGTTTTTCTGCTTCGGGCTTTGGTAAGTTAGTCTATTTCTAGCGGAATCTCAATGCCGAATTATACAAATGCGGTCTTCTCCCATCTGTTAAGTATCTTTTTGGGGACGATTCTGAAGGGTGGATTTTGCAAGAGGATAACGACCAGAAACACCGTTCGAAATTGGCGAGTCGTTGGAAGGAGGAAAACAACATCTAAGTATATATGAATAAGAAATAAATTTCATTTACTTATTGAATATAACAATTCATCATTTCGATTATTGCCTCCAATATAATAAATTTTGTCATCTTAAATGTTGAAGCATTTCTTTGATCTGGAACATAAGAAGTAGAATTTGGCTCCATGTTGAATCAGAGTTGCATATTCTTATTTGGAGTAGTAGTATTTCCACCCCATATGTAAAGTTTGCCTTTGTCATCAATGACAGAAGACATGCAGCATCGAGCTTTAGGAGCGAAAATGAAAAGGGCAAAGTGTTGACATCAAGTTTATAAGTCATTTGTGGGAGATTTGAATGATTTCCATCTTTTATATTATCACATTAAAAAGTATAATTTAAAAACTTTTCAAAAAAAAATTGAGTATCCATTTTGCAAAAACATATATTACTGAGTGGCTATCATTTTTCTGTGCGCTAAAAGCCGCTAAGAAAAACATCGGTGCAGAAACTAAATTATCAATTTTTATAAGTTCTGATGTAGATGTAGTCTAATCTTTAGAAATATCTAAAGAAAGCGCATTAATATTTGCAAAGTCGAGAGTATCAAAAAAAGATAAGCTTGTTCTCAATTAATACTCCAGATTCTGCAAAAATTAATCCTTCAGGAGAGTAGAGTGATCGCGTGCTTGATATAATGAATATTAAGTATATACAAATTGTTAGCATCATTTTTATTGGTATATGAATTGTGAAGAATCAGTTGTGTTTTACAGAAAATTTAGAGTTCTATGTTAATAAGTATTGTATGATCGAGCAAAAGAAGTATGGTATGGTCGGAAACTCACAGATTTTATACTATACTCTATATCCTGAGCCAATAACGTAACCCTTACCCATACCAAATAGCTTTTGTAACCAAATAGCTCGACCATATCATACTCGATAATGTGACACCGAAAAATTCAAAGAAAATTATTAGTAAAAAAAAGCGGGTTATATGTGGCAAATTACGATATAATAAGAGCCGAGAATAAAAACGTGTCAACTAATAATATGGCATAACGGTAACAATAGATTCATAAATTTAACGGTAGCGTTAATATTCCTCGATGAATTTTGTAGTTGAATGTACGTACCGTAATTTTCCGCATAAACAACCCGGGGTCTGTTACATTTCACATTATTAATATAAAAAGTGGGGGTTTACTATAAGGGGGTGATTTATGCGGCAAATTACGGTATGGCGAAAATAATGGCGGTGAAATTTTTTTGTAAAAGGGGTAAATACGTAGCTATTTAAAAATTTTATTTTGAAATGCTTCTTGGAATCTCATTATGCAGATGCTGTACAAGATAGAAAATGCCATCATTCAAACCACGTCATTAGGAGGAATTCAGTAATGGTAATTTTGTTTCAATCTGATCTCTGGCTGGTGAGAAATGGAAAAAATACACTCCCAGCAAAAGTACTAGTAATACAACTTTTACCATATAATTAGCCTTCTTTCAAAAATGGCTGGTGTGAAAAATACATGGTGGTTCTTTCTGAAATGTATTTACAGTACGTATTCGTACGTACTCTAATCTGGACAGAATTTGGTAATCATGTGATACATGTTTAATCATATGATTTGCCACTTTACCTTGCAATTACACGAAACTTTACTATGTCACCAAGCCTTCATCCATTAAGAAAAAATGCTCAGCTGATTTTTTGTATTAGAAATTATATATATTAATTAGCAATATAAAATATAAGGAGCATAAATTAAATAAATATTTTGAAAGACAATCAGTTACTACTTTTTTTAGCATTTCCATTTCTATGCCTTGATTCTTCGAGGGTATCATGCTTTACAACACATAAAATTTATAATTTTTTTAGTGTTTTAGAAGTTAGAATGATCACAAAAATAATATTCAAGCTCCATTAGTTTTTAAAAAGCATTCTAGAGCTCTATTTAGTATTATAAACCATAAATTCTATGTTCAAAACAATGCATAGCACTTCCACCGCCATTATTTTCGCCGGGGACTGTATATATCGATATTTCACATTACCATAATTTGCCGCATAAACCATACCCTTCATAGTAGACTTTCCCCTCTTTTTTTACTAATAATTTTCTTTTTTTTACTAATTAAATTTTCTGCTGATATGTGACAGATCCCTTTTCCTCTGTTACATAGCTCAGTTCCTTGATTACTACATAATTTTATTATCTCTTCTTCGTTCTTGGTTTATATGGCAAATTACAATTAACATCTACACTATTCCACGTTTTCGTTACACGTTCTAAACAGCTACTGTTTTGCGTGAATCGGACGAATTATCTTTATATGTATAAATGATTGAAATTAATTAGTATATTAATGAAAGTAATGTTCGTTTCAGTAATATCTATGCTAAAAATAAGTAAGCTGTTCTTGCAATTTTTCGATTCAGTTACACTTTGAAAATTGGTATTAGTTTTATGCAGCCAAATATTACTGAATGCTAAGTAGCCAGCATTTATTTGGCTTCTAACCTTTACGTATTAAGTAAAGAACTTCTTATGGATCAGATGGACACTAATGGTATTGTTATTTGGCCAAAAGTGATGACAAACGCGTGGAATTTATTTAAAATATCGATATATACATACGTAGTTACTGTAGTTGATATTATGGATTAATGTACTTAATACGTTGTTTTTTCTACTCAAATCGATCCGAATATATACTGTATATACATGTAAAAACAGGAAAAGTTCGTAATAATTGACGCCCATGAATTCAAGAGGTAATCCATCCATTGAATTAATCACAAGTTTCTTTGTTCACAAACCATTTTCACATGAAAAAAGAATAAACACAGAACAGTCCGCTGTAACACATTTGACATCAAAAGGGTTTTTTTTTGGTTGCGATTAATCGTGTCTAACGAATTAAGTTGATTTGATTAATAATCCGGAAATGGTGGCCTCTTAAATGTTGACCAATTAAAAGCAGCAGGACAACTCTCAAAAAATTCATTGAGCAATAGGTTGGTTCGAACAAAAACAGAATTGCAATAATAACGTAATCGTGATCAATTGAGTAAAAGGGTCCAATAACGATAATCCATTGTAAACTCGCATCAAAGCAAAGATCGTGCGGTGCAAGTTGACAGAAAATATTTCTTGTGGTGGGATCTCGCTGGATAATTTTGGCGCATGAAGTACAATAATATTAATCTATCTTTAAACTTTAGCTTTATTATTTTCTCCTGTTGTAGTTGCTGTTGTTCTTGGCTTAGTTGTAAATTTGATTAATTGCCTTATTTGGAATAAAGGCACATTTATTTTTCGACTACAACAAATAAAACTTTCCAAAAAGTGGCAATGCACAATTACAATTTGATAGAAAATTGCGTATGTTTATTAACAGTGTGTGTGCAATATTATTATAGGCGCATGTATTGAAGAAAAAATAGATTTTATTATATAATAATTTTTAAAGACTGTTTACATTTATTTTAAATCACTAAATGATTAACCTATTTAAAGAGTAGCAACAATATGTATTAAAATGGCAAAGACACCAGCGAAAGCAAATACGTAATGATTCATATCATTTTTGAGATTAAGCGAGGTTGCGATTGAGAGAAGGTCAGTGGGGGATGAAGCAGATTTAGCCGAGGAAGAAGCTGCGGAAGGTGTACTTGAGGAAATTGGCTTAGAGGTTCCGGAAGGTGTATTGCTGCTACTTGGAGATGTGCTATTACTTATAATAGGCAAAAATTAAAAATTAAATACAGTATAGTTACTCGCTTACGAATTTAATGATGCAATGAATAATACTTACTTTGGCAAACTAGTAGAATTATTAATTCCTGTTTAATTAAGTGCCGGAGTAGAATTAGAAATAAAATTAGTAGAATTATTCGTTCAAATTTCTCCAGTTTGCAAATGTATGATTGTTATTACTGGGACCGAAGGACTTTGATTATTACCTGTTGTATTAGGATTGTTTGAGCTTGAAGACGTCACATTGTTAGTCAAAGGTCCGCCGGTAGCATTGCTAGGCAAAGGTCCGCCGTTAGCATTGTTAGGCAAAGGTCCGCCGTTAACATTGTTAGGCAAAGGTCCGCCGTTAGCATTGTTAGGCAAAGGTCCGCCGTTAGAATTTTTGCTATCAGGACCACTATTAGGACCACTGCTAAGACCACTGTTAGGACCACTGTTAGGAACACTGTTAGGACCACTGTTAGGACCACTGTTAGTCACAGATCCATTAGCTGGACCATTTGGATTGGGACCATTGTTAGTCAACCCGTTAGGATTAGTAGGAGGTCCGCCGATTTGTCTATAAAATCACAAATGACATAGCCTATAGCTAAAAAAGATACAATTCATAAGGATCAAAATAAACGCTCACCTCTTGTATTCATCTTGGCTGTGAGTTACAGTGCACAAAGTCAACAATACAAGAACTAATATTGCAGATTTCATTTTATTGATTTTTTTCGTAAACTTTGGGTGTATTAATATAATATAATTAAGTACGAGCAAAGATATTTTTGAACGATCGCAAAAGTTTGAACAAATTCTCATTCCTGCTTGCAATTCTAACTCTTTATATAACAATATTGTTCTTGCATGGCTATGTATTTTTGTTTTGACAAAGCCATATCGATATTAAATAATTTGGCGGTGCGAGTTTCTTTCAGCCACAAAATAACATACGTATGAAATGATCTACGATTAATTATCTATATATCGACTTCAATAGATGGAATGTTTAGTTAACGATAATAAATAAAAATAAAACAATGTCAAAATCAAATTCAATTATCTTGTTGGCTAAAAAAAGAAATTTCCAATATTTTTTATTCAAAATTTCCAATGTTATACATGTGCGTTTAAAGTATTAACTAATATTTTTATTATGTACAATTTTCAATTACTTTTCCCAGTATGTCATATTAGCGCTAGGTCAATTGAACACAAGATCCAAATGCTAACTAAAAAGAACAATTCTTTGACAATACTGATATCGATAAGTTTTAGTTTATCGTTCTTGAACATTGGATTTGAGATCTAAATCAGCCCAAATTTATATGAACAAAATCCATTGCGAGCTACTTATTTGGACAACCAAATAGAGCTTGTATTAGATCTGACCTCATCAACGGATTACGCAAAATGATTTACTCTAGGGTAGTTTTCTATTTTTATTACTTTTGAAAAGGAATACGTAATATCGGTATTTATGATTGCTACGTAATTATCAATTGAATATAGCTAGGATGTTACCATTTCATTTTACATGTATCCTCTTAATCTTTCCATATCGATACAGTTATGCATATATAGTTGTATTTTTAATATCGACATTTCCATGAGGTTCTTTATCTGCTCAAACAAATTTCGGTAAAAGAAACATTCAATGAAAAAGTTTAACAATAATATGCTCACCTCGATAATCTTATCCGGGTCTTCTTTTCGCCGCTGCACCAACAGGTTCTTACAACGGAAACGTTGTTTTAAATGGAAATGATAACGGAAATCACAATTTCGGGGTATGCTAACAGCTGTGAAAGCTTTAATGATGGATATTCGAAATTATTTCAAGGTAATAACGATAATTGTTTAGGGCAAAAAAGGGTCGGATCACGTGCTTATTGTGGCACAAACCAATAAAAATGCGTAAATTTTTTTATCAGCCCGGCAAAACAAATCCGACGCAAGAAAATTGAAAAAGCAAAAAAATACGGGATAGATGCCTAAATCCAGCTTGGTACAGTAAAAAAAGTGTCTGGAAGACAATTTTACATATAATCTTGACTCCAGCGCTAACCCTAACCTTTAAATTAACCTTTAACAATAACCTTATTACTATAGAATTTTTCCGGACATAGACAAATATCACATGATCCTACCCTTTTTTTACCATGACTAGGGAACTAATTATTGTTTAGCGTTAGTGTAAAGGAACGGTTTTACAAACATAGACCAAATCGATGGTATATCTGACACATGCGTCTATTTCGTTGTATAATTTTTATCACCAAACTATAACGATAACCTCTATACAGTCACACCCTCCCTATAATATGAAGCATAAAAATTTAACCTCAATACAGTCACGATCTCTTCAAAGTCCACTTTTTCTGGTGATTACAAATAATGTAAAATACAATGACAGCTACGATGCAAAAAAAGAATGTTGTATGTGATATAATAAAAAAATATTTACGAGGAATTATATTTATAAACTATGGAAGTAGTTTTACAGGGGCATGGCTAACCACATTGTTCATGATTGAGTGGATTGTTGCCGAACCATTCGGGAAAATGAATATTCTATAAAATTAATTTAATTTTAAAATGTATCGATTTTTTTCAAAATACGTTAAAATCAAAAACTCACCGTAAAAAATGCATTAGTGAAAATAAAAACAACAAACAGACAAATCTGCACTCCACTTTCCAACGCTGCATTTCCCACATAATTGTACTTTCGCCACCAATCGTGGCGATATCGATACAATGAAAACTGAGTACAGAACCCCACTACCAGAGCAACCAACAAATAGTTCTTTCTGAACTGCACTGTTATATGCGCCCCTAAAAATATCAACGGTACATTCACGAATTTCCATGGGAATCTCGAGTTTGGCCAGCGCCTATGTATGAGCCAGAACGGAATCGGTAAGAGGAATCCGATAAGCCAGCACCAAACTAGCGGGAAGTACAAGCTATCGTATCCGAAGATACGTTGCGGGCCAGCGGCGCCCCAGATTATCGAGACGGATTGTGTGATTCGCGGGATCATCGAAGAGAATCCGTTTTTGTTTTGGGTGATTTCTTCAAAGTGGCTGTCTATCATCCAGTTCATTACGATGTAGGTTACTGTTAGGGTGAGTAAAGTGCCGTATATTTGTACGATGAACATTTTTCTTGGGGGTATTTTCATGTATTGGCCAAGCTTGAACTGTTGAAGCATTGTTAGACATTGAGCCATTCCCCAATATGAGAATACCTTAAATGTGACGTTTGCAACTTGTTCTCCTGGAAATATGTAGCCAGCAATCATTTCCGATATAATGTTTAGTCCTATTTGATAATTCGTCATTGCTTGAATTACTCCAACTGGAAGAATACCAATTAATGCCATCACTAAAGCTGCAAAGAGTCCCCACTAAATAATTTTTGATCAATTCAATTCAATTGAACAATATAAATGCCATTTACCATGATTTAATATCCTACTTACCATGGGTAAAGCCGTTGGTTCTAACACAGTAAAAGCACACGCCATAATCAGAGACAAACAAAATATCAGCGTGTACCATTTAATAGGGACTTTAGGATATGCACGCATCATATTAACATGTATACAAGCATCCCTTTCCAATTTTCTCGGATCTTGTTCAAAAGTAGAGAATGGCGCCGAACTAACATCACTCATTGCCGTTGGATCAAACCGTGTGATTCTATCATCACGGGTAAGAATATCTAATATCGCGCTTTGAAATTTTCCGATAATGTCTTTTCCATGCCAAAGACAAACATGTGTTATCGTTGCAGTGATTGAAATGAATCCACAGGCATACGAAAGTGCCATAAACGGACTCATTCTGATTGGAGAGTATGCGTCGTACTGGGCGGTGTCAATTGTTGTTTCATTAGCCTTTATAATACGACTGATATTATAAAAATTGCCCTGGTTATCGTGTAATTCTACTGATGTGATTGTAAATGTTTTTGCTGACCAGAGATTTGCGTAGTAAACTATTGGCATTACCATCCAAAGGAAAACTGCTCCACCGAAATAGACATTCGATTGTGCCCACTTGACGTTAATGCAAAATTCAAGGATCAATATTTTTTAGTCTGTTAAGAGAAAGTACGAAGCAAGTAATTATACTTACCCAAGGTGAAGATAATGGCGTAAACTGTATCACTTCTGTCCAATCAAAAGTAACTGTCAATAACCCTAAGCCTTTTACACCACTTCCTAGTCTTATCAAATCAGGATTCTTGTGCCCGAAATAACAAAGAACCGTAAAACTCATAAGTATCGGCGCGATAAACTGCGGCACCAGTTCCCAAAGAAAAATTACACCGAAAACTATCCAAAAGAATTGCATTCTTGAAAGTGCTCGTATAAAATTATTTTTGTGTTCGTGGAGTGTGTTGTAGAATGCGACATTTACTAAACTGGCTGGCCATACCATTTCGGGTATTTCAACAAGAATTGGGTATGCCATTCCAGCCTATTTTTTGAGGGTTTGAATAGAGACGCGTGTCGTTTATTATAGATCGTTAAATAGAAATTCGGGCAAAAAATTGGTGAATCAAAACTTACTAGACCATACCCGAGACATTGTGACGATATCAAAAGAAGTATACTTCCAACATGTTTGAAGCCTTGAGCAACATATAACCGTTGCATTGACAACAAGTTTATCGCATATGGAGAAATAGTTGCTGTAATATTAAAATATAACAATCATTAGTATTTTATTTTCATAGAAAAGTTAATTTTAATTACCTGTAGAAGCAGCAACTCCTATTAAAGCATGTTCTTTCATATTAAAAGGTCTATATTTAAAATTAATCAACACTTTAGATAAATAAATTAATGATGTAATATCGTCATCGATGTTCTTACCCAGGATTCATAGAGAACTCGAACCAACTTCCAAATCGAATTTTTCTTTGTGGCAAAAATCTAGCCATCAATTTTCCCAACGGGTAACTTGCCAGCTGCACAAAAACCACAGAAAACTGATACGGTATAGTCGTAAAATAATAATATTGAGTAAACGCAGCCCCGAACACAGTAAACAAAAAGCTCAACACCCAAAAACGAAATGTCAAGCATTCTAATGTCCGATCATCATTTTTCGACACGGTAGCTCGTACCGCCTCAATTGGACTATTCTCCAAGGCTGGATATGACGACAATAAATCATTGTGTTTCGTATCGGGTTTATCATTGTAGTAGCGAATTATTGAGTTATGGATGTTGAGATGCTGTGGCAAGGATTCTTGGGGATCTGGTTGATACCATAGTGATTGTGGTATTAGGTCGATATCTTCTGTGATTCTGGAGTTATTGTCGTTATATGCTAGCGGTAATGCCGATGGAGATTGCAATATCGCGACATTATCTTTTTCACTGGATTCTGATGATTCATTCTGATTATTAGAATGCAGGTTTTGCTCTGTTGTTCGTCGTGACATTTTCAATAGGTTTTAATTGTGCAGAAATCTTAATTTCAGAATTTATTAATCATTCGGGAAACTACGTATAGATTTTTTGGTGTGAAAAGAACACACCCTTTCCAATATTCTTATTGTTGTTAGTTTTTTTGTCTTGACGAAAAAAAAGTTTTGTGTATGAATTAAAATGGTGGGGAGGATGAGTAGGGTAATAGTAATAATAACAATATTTGTTGTGTATGCGTAACGAATACAAACCGACACGTATTTGCGTCAATTGCAGAAGCGGGGGTAGACAAGGGAAAGCGGAGAAAGGTAAAAGAATTAATTAACGATTAAAAAAAAGAGTAACTTCTAATATGTTGAGATGATTTGCTTTGCAAATAACGGTAATGTGAATGAAGAGACACGACAAGATTCAATGGAGTGAAAAGAATGCAACTACGGTTTCTGCGTCACATACACACACATATATACTCGTTCAGAGGACGAAAAGAAAGAAAGGAAAATATTTATTATTTAATGCGCTTATTATATAAATACAAGTTAATGAATACCGACAATAACAATAGTAGTAAATATATAAAGAAACACACATGCAACATGTACATTAACGTTAACTCGAATTTTACTTTTTGTCAGTTTAGATTCCGATATATTTATTGACTTGTAGACCAGGGATCGGATAAAAAAAGTAAATGCCATAAAAAGAAATTCGATAAATAAATTATTGTTATTACATGTATTTGTCAATTAACGTTAACGTTAATTTTGTGGATCAGATTAATTTAGGAGAAAATTTAGTGAAAAAACTATATTTTTCTACTGATCGTTTGGGTAAAATCTGTTTTTGTCTTCTCATGCAATAGTAGCGGTAGTGTTTATTTATGCGATCAATTTATGCTGTTCGACAAATTAAGTCTATTAAATAGCTTTGTTTGATTGGTAGTTTATCTAGTCTTAATATTGTTACTATCGTTATCAATGGGATGAATGACTGCACAATAAAAATATCGATATCATGAACAATTACATGTACGTACTATATATAGTCTATATATGCATTATTAGCCAATGAAAACAAAGATTTGTTTTCATAGTAAATTCATTCCCGAGATGAGATACATGGTTTTAGCATCTTTATTTTTTTTTGAGACTTTCATAACCTT